ATGTAACCCATAAATTTGCCACTTGTGGAATGTTATCTAGAATCAATGTCTTCTATTGTTTGGTTCATTGCTTCATGTTGCATCTATCACAAATATAGAATGTGTGTTTCTGTACCCTATATAAAGACTTGACCCCCTTAATAAATGCTTTTTGCTTTGCCTGAAGTACTTGTGGTTTATATTATCAGGGGTGGGGGAGCCACTTTGCAAAGGTATAGTGTTTCTCTCCCAAATTCAGGGAAAAGGTTCCTCCAGCTCTATGCCACTCAGGTGCCAGAGTGTTAAAGGCAACAATTAAAGGGTCTATTTGGTTTCATGATTTCTTTTTGAATTTGGATTTCTAAATTGTATAGAGAGACTCAAGATGCTACGTGGCCCCTTCCAATTATCTTGTAATGCACTTACTGGTCTTTCTTGATAATAAATAACCACCGATTCTATGGATTAAATTAGAAGAACTGCAATTAATGTGCTAAAGCAACAAGCATCCTGATGGAGTAGAGCAGACCTGCACAACATGCAGCCTTCCAAGCAGCCTTGTGTGGGCTGCTGGCATTTTTTGAAAATTCAAAAAAACCACTGCCACCAGATGCTGCCCTGAAAGACACACTGCCGAGTACCTCCAACACCTGTATGATACCACCAGCTCCATTGCAGCCCCCACATCACTAGCCACCATACAGTTGATTGGGGCGCAAACTCTTCCTTTGTGGCCTACAATTGTTTTTATCAATTTATCAATGAGGCCCTTTCCCCTGTAGGAGTTGTGCAGGCTTGGTGTAGAGTGTGGTGCCTCAGAGAGTTGTAATCCAAATTCCTGTATGCCTCTTGACAGTTTGCATTTAGCTCTGGTTTCCTGCTGGCTAGTCATCTGCTAGTTTGTTGATAAGAGAAGCTGAGATAGGAACAAGATAGGATAGCAAAATATTCCCACAAGAGGAAGAACAGCTTTTTGGGCTGGCATTACAGGTGGAGTCTTAAAATACCTGGGAACTCTGGAAATGAGAACCAGGGGAGAATGGAGGAAATGGTTACTTAGATGGCCCTAAATAGCTTTGGCTGCAAAACTCTAGCTTTAATAAAGAACTTAGTTGGGCCAGGCAGTATTTGCATTGCTGAAGATTTGTCAGTCGGAGAATGGCCTGATATCCATAAAGTGGAGGATGGCAAGCTCTGGAAAGATTGCTGAAGCAAAGAGTAGGAAGCACTTCAGAACTTTGGCTATTTAACATAGAAGATCCCTCAGAGACAGGAGAGAATCAAAATTCAAATATTTTCCACCTTGAGGAAAGCCAGCTGCCAGCCTGACTCACAGAGGGAAAACCATCACCCATATCTGCAAGCTGTTCTAAATTAGGAGGAACATACATATATCAGACTGGCCAATACAAACATATGCTGCAGGTACATTTCTGGATCTAATTCAAAATCCTGGTTTTGACCTTTAAAGCCTTCAGTGGCTTAGGACCAGGTTACCTGGAAGAGCACCCCCTCCTATGTGTACCTACCAGATCTTCTAACAAAGCCCTTAATTGTATTTTACTTGAATATTAATTTATATTGTCTTACATTTTGACAGTTGCTTGCTGTTGCCAAGTTTGCATGGTGTCTTTATTTTGTATTTTATTGGATATATTTTGATTTGAATTTTTTTCTTTGCTGCGTTTATTGTAAACTGCCCAAAGAGCTTTGGCTATTGGGCTGTTTGTTTGTTTATTTAAAAATGTAAATAAACTATATTAATGCATGCACACACACATGCATACATACAGTCAGGTCCAGAAATATTGGGACATTGACACAATCCTAACATCTTTGGCTCTATACACCACCACAATGGATTTGGGATGAAACAATATGATATATGTATATACAGTCAGATCCAGAAATATTGGGACATCGACACAATTCTAACATCTTTGGCTCTATACACCACCACAATGGATTTGGGATGAAATCCCACTTGTTAAGGGACCAAAAGTAATGGGACAATTGGCTTCTCAGCTGTTCCATGGCCAGGTGTGTGATATCCCCTCAGTACCCCAATTACAATGTGCAGATAAAAGGCCCAGAGTTCATTTCAAGTGTGCTATTTGCATGTGGAATCTGTTGCTGTCAACTCTCAAGATGAGATCCAAAGAGCTGTCACTATTATGATATATGTATATACAGTCAGATCCAGAAATATTGGGACATCGACACAATTCTAACATCTTTGGCTCTATACACCACCACAATGGATTTGGGATGAAATCCCACTTGTTAAGGGACCAAAAGTAATGGGACAATTGGCTTCTCAGCTGTTCCATGGCCAGGTGTGTGATATCCCCTCAGTACCCCAATTACAATGTGCAGATAAAAGGCCCAGAGTTCATTTCAAGTGTGCTATTTGCATGTGGAATCTGTTGCTGTCAACTCTCAAGATGAGATCCAAAGAGCTGTCACTATTATGATATATGTATATACAGTCAGATCCAGAAATATTGGGACATCGACACAATTCTAACATCTTTGGCTCTATACACCACCACAATGGATTTGGGATGAAATCCCACTTGTTAAGGGACCAAAAGTAATGGGACAATTGGCTTCTCAGCTGTTCCATGGCCAGGTGTGTGATATCCCCTCAGTACCCCAATTACAATGTGCAGATAAAAGGCCCAGAGTTCATTTCAAGTGTGCTATTTGCATGTGGAATCTGTTGCTGTCAACTCTCAAGATGAGATCCAAAGAGCTGTCACTATGTTTCATCCCAAATCCATTGTGGTGGTGTATAGAGCCAAAGATGTTAGAATTGTGTCGATGTCCCAATATTTCTGGATCTGACTGTATATACATATATCATATAAATATATTATTAAATATATCCATATCCAGGTAGAAAACACTTAAAGCTTCATAATATTAAGTGCAAGTGTTCACTCAATTTGCATTTTAGAATCTCAAGAGGTTGTCCCTTATCTAGAAATGGCAAGAAACAGGTTGTAACCTTGCTAGCTGTGCTAATGAATGGAGCTGGAAATTGAAAGGAAATGCTAAATGCTTGCTTTTATGCCTGGATTTATGCTTTGCACTGGGTTCTGTCAGAAAGCCAGTGTGACAATGCTATATTAGGTTATTGGGGTACATCGCTCAAACTATTTTCCCCCCCGCAGTGGTCCTGTATTTTTGCTTCAACAGTGCAGCTACCTAAGAAACTACCTTCTAATTCTTTAAATATATAAATTCAAAAAGCAACTATTCAAATATACTTAAGGAACTAGTTTCCTAATTCCTTAGTTTTCTTTGTCTTATATTTTTCCCAAACCATTTAATCTTCTTAAATGTAGTAATTTTCATTTCATTAGTTTGGAGCCAGGGTGGTGTAATGATTCAGATTTTGGATTAGGAGCAGGAAGATACAATTTGTAGTCCACTCTTAGCGATGGAAACATCTGGGTAATTTTGGGTCCATGTTGTTTGCTCTCAGCTTAAACTATCTCACAGAGCTGTTGTGGAGAAAAATAAGAAGAGGCAGTGTTACGTATATTGCCTTGAACTTTTGAATGAGATACAAAAGCCTGAATGGTGATGCATCATTGATAGACTGTTTATGTGCCATCAGGTTGGTGTTAACTCTTAGCGACCACATAGATTTTCTCCTTGATGATTAATCCCTAACCTAGTTCTTTAGATATTCCAACTGTGTACCCATCACTACTGTAATTGAGTGCATACATCTGGCTGCTGGTCATTCTCTTGTCTTCCTTTCCACCTTTCCCACCACTACAGCTTTCTCCAGAGAGCTAGGTCGTCACATAATGTGTCCAAAGTAGGATAATTTGAGCCTGGTAATTTGTGCCTCAGGTGAGAACTCTGAGTTAATTAGTTTGACAATCCATTTGCTTCCTTGGCTACCCATGCTATTCTCAGGAGTTTTCTCCAACACCAACGTTCAAAAGCTTCAATACTCTTCCTGTCCTGCTTCTTCAAAGTCCAACTTTCGCTTCCATAGAGATTCACAGAGAATACCATTGTTTGCAGTATTCTGATCTTTGTAGGTATAGTCACATCAAAGCATCTGGATATCTTTTCCAAGGTCTTCCTGGGTGCTGTGCCAAGTACTAGTCGGCAGTGTCTTTCTTGAGTGCTTGTTCCTTTACTGTTGATAGGTGATCCTGAAAGGCAGAGGCTATGTACTACTTCAAGATCCATTAACAGTCCTAAGGCTTGTTGTCATTAATTGGATCAGTTGTTATGCTTGTTGTCATTAATTGGATCTTCTTTATATTTTAGTCCCATTTTTTCACTATGCTCCTTGACTTTTGTTATTAGAGCTTGCAGATGTTTTCATTTTCGGCTATCAGAAGTAGCGTCATCAGCATAGTGCAGGTTAGTGATGTTTCTTCACCCAGTTTTAAAACCATGCTTATCTTCTTCTAATCCAGCTTCCTTTAACACATATTTAGCATACAAATTGAATAAATAAGGGAAAAGTATATAGTGTTGCCTCACTCCTTTGCCAACCTGGAGCCATCTGTTTTGCCATATTCTGTCCATACTGTCGTTTCCTGACCTGTATATAAGTTTCTCATGAGGACAATGAGATGTTCTGGGATTCCCAATTTTTTAAATTTGACATAGTTGACACAATTGAAGGCTTTTCTATATCAGTGAAACATATATTGACTTCTCTTTGGTTTGGGTCTCTCAATTATCCAGCATGCATCAGCAATAATGTCTCCTGTTCCTCATCCTTTTCTAAAGCCAGCTTGAACATCTGGCATCTTTTTTCATGCAGCTGGAAAGAACCTAGTCCCTGAATTTGAGAAACACCCAATACCTTTGCAAAGTGGCTTTTTCATCCCCCGAACAATACAAACCACAAGTACTTCAGGCAAAGGCATTTTATTAAGGGGTAGGGGGTCAAGTCTTTATACAGAGTACAGAAACAAATTGTACATACATTTGATATATGTGATGCATCAGAAAGCAACAATCAAACAATAAAAGACATTTATTTATTTATTTATTTAATTCATATGGTTAGGCTTGAGAAAAGACAGACACCCTTAAAATATGTTGCATCTCTTCCTTTCCCACCAAAGTTTGTTTCTTTAACACTTGCAACACTCACTTCAGAATACAGCCTTATTGTTTGACTGAGGATCCCTGAAAGGGCTAATTTTTGCACATCAAAGAAATGGCTTTGGCTCAGAGGAAAAACATGGGTTCCTAAACTTCACAGGGAGGCATGGATGCCATGCTAAAATGCTAATATCACCTTTATTAAAATGCTAATAATAAAGCCTGAAATTCTACGTCACACAACTACACTCAGTCTTCTATTAATGCTCTAAGCCGCTGAAAGTCATATACATTGTAGTAATCAATAAAGGGATGGAAAGGACTTGAAGGTTGGAGGAGAACCTGGTGAACCCGTGTGCGTGCGTGTTCGCGCCTGATGCGCGCGTGCCAAGAGCAATTCCAAGCAAGCCGCAAACAGGACCTGCTTTTACGTTCAAAGTTACATTCCTTCCCCTTACAGTTTGATCAGTCTACTGCACGATCAGCTACAGGCGACTGATGCGGTCCCCCGCTGTTCTCCTCTTTGCCGCCCCGCGTTTTTGACAATGGGATGGAGACCGCCCGCTTGCATCTCCCACCTTCTATGGAAACGATTGGAACGGACGGCCGTTAACGGGCTTCGGCGGCGGCGGAAGGCAGAAGAGAACGAAAAGGCGCATTGCGCATGCGCGCGGACCCTTGCACCGCCGTTTGCACCGCCGTTTGACAGCTCTGCGTCGTTCGCTCTCCCTTCGGCATGCGCGTGAGGCGCGCCTCGTTCGAGTGAAGCCCAGCGGGGTTGTTGGTCTTGGGGACAGGGAGGAGGAGGAGGAGGAGGAAGAAGGTGGCTTTCCAGAGCGGCCTCTCCGATGAGCCTCAGCCTACCGCAGGGCCGGCGCTATGGCTGCTCTGTACCAGAGTGCAGACCCGTCGGCCTCGGCTTTCCCGAACAAGCTGCTGGCGCTGAAGGACGTCCGGCAGGTGAAGGAGGAGACCACTCTGGACGAAAAGCTGTTCCTGCTGGCCTGCGACAAAGGTAGATATCTGTCTCTCCCTTTTCCCTCCATTTCCGTAGAAATCCGTTTTCTTCCGACCCGCATTATCAGCCAGCAGCGGGCCTTAGTCAATGAATCCGCCCAGCATCCAAGCGAGCAGCGCCGGAAGAGACCGGAGTTCCGCTCCTTATTCCTGGACCTATCCAGGATGAGAGACTCAATCCGAATCATAAACAGAAAGTGATTCGTAGAAAGGTCAGAACCAGCACTCTGGTTCTGACTACAGGGTGATGGCTGTAATGAGGAAGAACAATAGCAAAAGGCTCCCATCTTTTCTTCCCTTTCCCTTTTATGGGAATGTTTGTTTATGGGAGGGTTTGTTGCTGGAGGGTCTTGGCTAAAAAGCCCAAAGTAATGAGATTGTCAAGCAGCCTCATTATAACCTGTCGTTTTATTTGGTTAGTTTTAGCTTTTGCTTGTTCTTCTCCATCCCTACATATCAAAGGGGGAAGGGGGGGAGGGTGATTTTCAGGAAATGTTTTCTTTTTGCAACCAAGATTTACATATAACTGACTTTTTGAGGGGTATAATAAATATTAAAGAAGATCACTAAAAATTAAAATCTAAAATGCTAAAATAAGTTTTTCTATATTATTGGTTTAGGTGATTATTACATGGTGAAGAAACTTTTAGAAGAGAATAGTTCTGGGGAAATGAACATAAATTGTGTGGATGTGCTTGGGAGAAATGCTATTACCATAACTATTGAAAATGAGAATCTAGACATTCTACAGCTTCTGTTGGATTATGGCTGTCAGGTACTGTGTGACCTTGTTCAGTTAATAATATCAGTATACATTTGAAATTTCTATTCTTTTTGCTTGCCCTTTCAGAACAGTGTCTGTCCATGTTTCACTTCCTTTATTTAACAATGTATATTTTCTTTCATGGTATGTAGTTTGCTGTGATTTATGCTTTAATTTTATTCAGTCTACAGATGCATTATTGGTGGCCATTGACTCAGAAGTTGTGGGAGCTGTTGATATATTACTTAATCATCGACCAAAGCGATCCAGTAGACCAACAATTGTTGTTAGTATTCTTTAATTCTGTGTTTGAGGGTGCATCTCATGATACTCAAATCTTTGAGTTAAGCATGTATTTGATGATGGGAAAATTTTGATCTTGGAAACTTTGGAGAGCAAATGTAAGACTTTTTGATTATATATCTGAAAAGGAGCAAATTTATTCATTTATTAATTTATTATGTATAATTATTTATTAGATTTATATCCAGGAACTCAGACATATACAGCACTCTGTCCACTCACTTTTCCCCACAACAACAATCCTGGGAGTTATATTGGGCAGTGAGCTTCCATGGCTGAAAATGGACCTGAAGTTATTTTACTGAATGTTTATAAAGGATAAGGATTTTAAAAGTATTAGCTTAACAATTATTGGCACTCTGCTGCTTGAATTATAAATAATCAAACTGAAGGTTGTCTTAGAAAAGATTTCAAATGAACATTGACTTGTATACATACATGAAAAAGGGGAAGACATATTCATTCTAGTTTTTATAAACATTATCAAAAAGATAAGAATTGTTACAACCCATAAGGTCCTTTTCTATTTCAAGTTTATTTTAAATTGGGAGAATCACCAGAAGTTACAGTTCAAATTATCACATGCACATTGATCTATTTTTTATTTTTTTCATCATTTCAAATACTATTATACAAATGAGTGTTTGCAACTTTGGGTACTTAAGAGGGAGGAACATGTAAGAAACATAACTGAGTTTATCCCTTCTACTTCTTAATAGCCAGCCACTAGAAGAAAGAGGAATAGCATACATTAGAACCATGTGTGTGTTTTTCATTTCAGGAAATAATTCTTTGTGGAGCAAAATGTATTCAGTTAAATTTGTCAGTCATTGCATTTAGTTTAGTAATTTTGAAATTAAAAAGACCTTAAAGAATACGTTTTGGTTTCAGATAAGTTGTGTTTTAGATCTCATCTCTGCATTAGCAATTCATAAAGCTTAATTTATTTTCTCAGACTTTTGTCTGTCTGTTGCAGAAATTAATGGAACGTATTCAGAATCCAGAATATTCAACAACTATGGATGTTGCACCTGTCATTTTAGCTGCTCACCGTAACAACTATGAAATTCTTACAATGCTGTTAAAACAGGACGTTTCGCTACCCAAACCTCATGCTGTGGGGTGTGAATGTACATTGTGTACCGCCAAGAACAAAAAAGATAGTCTACGACACTCCAGGTTACAATAATTAGATCTTCATCCATGCATGCAGCTTTCCCATTATTTTTAAGTAACAACCACAAAGGAGCTTAGTTCAGATTTTAGAACAAACTGAAAACTCATGACAAGCATATATTTCCTTGGAGTGTATAGCTTTGCTTGTAAAAGTTGTTGTATTCAGTTCCTGCCGTCTCTAAGTAGAAATGGGAAAAATATTTGGATGATTGCTTATGGTCATTATACAGTAGTGAACAAGATGGTTTAGTGATCTTACTGGTTGTAAATCAGTTTGCTACTATATTCCTCGTAGTCCTGGAGAGAGGTTTTTATAAACAGGAACAATTTTTTTTTCTTTCATGTTACTATAAATTGGTAATATGTAGGCAGGCTTGTAAAATACTTTTGGCTAAAAACGTGAGGACAATAAAGACATTCTTAGTAGCAATGACTTTTCATTCTTTTGAAATGACATAAAGGAATTAAAACATGTATAGTGTTCTTTTTGTACTAGATCGAGAGAGAAAAATTGTACTCTAACTCAACAATTTAGACCTCTACATAATTCAATATCTGTAACTTAATGGCTGAGCCATTTTCTCATAGAAACACAGAATTCATTAATGTAGATTAAAACAGCAGAACAATACTTGTTTTGTTCAATAGGTAAGGGGCCAATATGACATTGGGTGCAAACTGTTTCATAAATATGCATATCCTAAGCATCTATTCCCAAATAGACTGCAGAGGAGATTCTACTTGGAGAAGGCAGTTCTGAAGCTTATCCATGTAAGGTTTTACAGTATAGATCAAGACCAGCATTTTGAATTGTACTTGGGAACTTATTGGCAACCAATACAGCAGTAGAAGAACTAGTGCTTTTCTACTGTAGTGGCTTTCACCAGGCAGCAGGCAAACAGTTGCATTCTGTACCAGCTGTAGTTTCTGTGTGGTCTTCAAAGGCAATCCAAAATACAGGTAGTCCTCGCTTAATGACCATTTAGTGACCATTCGAAGTTACGATGGCACTGGAAAAAAGCTACTTATGACCAGTCCTCGCACTTATGACTGTCTCAGTGCCCTCTTGGTCACATGATCGCGATACGGGCATTTGGCAACCAGCTGACACAACGGTTGCAGCGTCCTGGGGTCATGTGATTACCATTTGTGACCTTCCCAGTCAGCTTCCAGCAAGCAAAATCAATGGGGAACCATGTGATTTGCTTAACCACCAAGTGATTCACTTAATGATCACATTGATTCGCTTAATGACCACTGCAAAAAATGTCATAAAATCAGGTGCAGTCACATGATGCCTCGCTTAAGGACTGCCCTGCTTAATGATAAATTTTCTGATCCCTGTTGTGGTTGTTAAGTGAGGACTACCTGTAGAATGCATTGCAGTAGTCCATTCCAGAGGTGATAAGGGCATGAGTCACTATTGCAAAGGTTTCTTTCTCCCCAAAAGGCTGTAGTTGGCACAAAAACAGAAGCTGGGGTAAAGGCCCCTTTGGCCAGAACCTCCACCTATTTATCAAACGGAAACTGTGAATCTAGGAGGATTCATTGACCTGCTTCTTTAGGGAGAGTATCCAGAGTTAAACAAGCTGAAATCAATCCAGATTGTCTACATACGGAAAGTGTCTCTGCTGTGCAAAGAATCTATTTTGCCACATCCAGTCGCTCATAGCTTCCAGTGCCAGATAAGAACATGTTTGTTATGATATTATCATGAAATTACAGGTGGTGGATATAATACCCCAAATTGTCCCAGTTGTTTTGAGTAGGATTAATGTGTTTGCATGTTTTGAGAATTTTAATATAAAACAATTGTCCTTTGAATGATAATGGATGGCACACTACATCTTATTACCAAATCTTTAATAAAAGTTATCAGTCTTTAAACTAAAAATTGCTAAGAACTTTCTTAGAACATACGCCTAGGTGATGAATGGAATTCTTTTGCTTACGGTAATGATACATAAATGTATCAGATTTCTAAAACAGATTTCATATAAACAATGAGTTGAAATTATTAATCAAATGAAAAACTGCTTGTCTTAAGATGTGTTCTTTAACATTGCCACTGCAGATTTCGTCTTGATATTTATCGATGTTTGGCTAGTCCTGCCTTAATAATGTTGACAGAAGAGGATCCAATTCTGAGAGCCTTTGAACTTAGTGCAGACTTAAGAGAATTAAGCCTTGTAGAAGTTGAATTCAGGTATGGATAAAAAATAGTACTATTTTATTTCCAGCAACATGATATGATTAGATGCAGGCATACCACAAGTGAGCTAGGCTAACAATATACTGTACATCTTGTAAACTGAGAAAATGTATAATGCAAACTCATTAATGTTTACTGAGAAATGAGTCACACATTTCTATAGCTCTTATTCCCAGCCAAACATACTGAGGATTGTAGTCATAATCTCTAAATAATATATTTGAATGTCTTGTTACTAAGGAACAAGCACCAAATGGAAATGTTTCATGAAGAATAACTGTTTTAGGCTAAGGGTATGAATTTGTAATTAACTTAGAAGGTACTGCATATACTTCAAAGATTTATAGCAAAGATTTATGACTAGTTAAGGGTAAAATCTACACTGGATGTTACTGTGTTTCTTTTTGGTTCAAACACAATTACTCTGGTTATATGTCAGTAATTATTGGAGAATAATAAGGAAGGTTAAAATACATATGCAGACATATCTTGAAAGATCATAGTGGCAAACCACTTTGGCACTGTTGCCAAGAAAAATATATGGTTGCATCCATGAATATTTTATTCTCTATGGTGATAACATAATTCCATTCTGCATGGCAATGAAATGAATTGTTTTAATTTTTAGAGCAAACAATCCATATGCATTACTGAGGACTTTAAAAGATAAAGTCTCCTTCAAGTCAGGCTTGATTCCTGGTGGTTTCATGGATATCAGCCTAAAACCCTGAAATTTCCTGGTTATTTGCCATCCAAATACTAACTAACCTTCCAAATTTAGTAAGAATCAACACAGTGCTGCTGCCATCTCTAACATTAATTAATTTTATTAATTTGTTTTTACAATATTTATAACCTACCTCAGTCCTAACAAGGGGTACAACAAAGCCCCACCCTCAAATGCATTAAAACATATATAAAAATGAGTCATAAATCTAGTATATGAAATTTGCCTTTCTCTTAAGGGATACTTTATGAAATCAAGTTAAATTATTTATTTAAATTGTTCATTTCTTAGATTTATATCCCACCTTTCTTCTAGGAACAGAAGGCATCATATATAGTATTCCCTCTTCCAGATTTTTCCCATAGCAACTGCCCTATGAGGTAGGTTGAATTGAGAGAGAGTGACTGGTCTAGTCATCCATATCTGAGGGATTTGAACCTGGATCCTCCTGGTCCTAGTCCAGCACCTTAACTACTGTACTACCTTTAATTTTTAAAAGTTTGTCCTTTTTCAGTGATTTTAATAATTCATTTGAACCATCTTGATTTTAGCTCATTCCAATCTGGTATCCACTTTTGTTCAGGAAGGATGTTTCTTCTTCTTTTTTGTTTGTATGGTAAGTGAAATTAGCATTAGAAGTAAGTTTTGTCATTTTTGTATTTCCTAGAAATGATTATGAAGAATTAGCCCAGCAGTGTAAAACCTTTGCTAAAGATTTGCTTGCTCAGGCACGGAATTCCCGGGAGCTTGAAGTTATATTGAATCATACTGCAAGTGATGAGCATGTGGATAAACGAGGATTGCTAGAAGACAGAATGAATTTGAGTCGCCTAAAGCTTGCCATTAAGCATAACCAAAAGGAAGTATGTCGGTTTTGGTTTATTAAATATAGAATCCTCTAACAAATAAATGGGATAAAACAGATATGTGTCTTAGTAAGTTTCCAACGTCTAACAATTACAAAAATTATAGTACTAATTCAATACAATCTACTTCTAATGGAAACACAAAATATGAATTAGCAGCCTAGCCCAATCCCTTTCTGTGTAGGACAATAGTCAATGTATTTGTGTGGCAAAATCCTGAATGGCAAGGGAGAATTAATGCCATATTGGTATGAATTCCTTATTTCAGCTCAGCTGGTTCAGCAGCTTTGCTGCTCTGGTACTCACCTCATACATCTGTTGTGACATAGAGTTTTGCACTTTACTTCACCCTATTTCTGTTGGCTAGCTTTATGTAATGGTGCTGCAGTGACTGAAGTTAATTGCCTTTATAGACTGAAGGATAAAATATGGTGCAAGGTTTTTGTGCAGATGACTGGCACTAATGTAAGCGGCACTTTCATATTGCAGTTCCTCAGTTGACCATTTTTGAAGTTTCATTTCTTGCTCAGCATTTCCAATCATATTGATTTTTTTATTATTACATCTGCCTTCAAGCCAGTAACTATTGTTACAATTCTGCTATTTCTTGTGTTGGAGAAAAGCCATACAATTTGCCCTGGCAAGACTCTAGTACTTTGTGTATCTATCTATGTGTGCGTATTTAAAGAGAGTTACCCTGCAAAATGGAAGATGTTTCGCACATATAGTTCTGTGAAAGAGCCTGAAGTAACAGATATTGTGGGATATGGTTACTGTAATGGTTAACATTTCAAATATAATTCACATTTTATTGTGTTGTGGAACCGGTGGGGTCTGTGTGTGTCTGTGTCTGTGTGTCAAACTAGTCAGTCCAACGAAAGCAGCACTGTACTGCAGGCCTTGCCTTTTGTGTATGTATGTTGTGATGTGACATATTCAGTATGTTCAAAAGAGCTGGAGCCCATAGCGTAATGCAGCTTTCATCATTTTGATGAAAGCAGCTGGACACCATACAAACCTTTTTTGCAGTTAATTGTTCTCGTTTTAGCAAACATATGAAAATGAGAATGATTGAATGTCTCCTTTAAATATACAATGAAGTTCAATTGACTGATTATATTTAATTATACAGAATTTACAAGTTTAAAATGAACTTACTCTCCAAACACTATTATTGCAGCTAATTATTTCTGTCTACTTTTGTTACTCTCTTAAACAAAGAATGTAAATCATTGGCTCCTTTAGAAAGTGTTTTTTTTTATGTAAAAATATTTTTCTATTACAGTTTGTTTCTCAGTCTAATTGCCAGCAGTTTCTCAATACTGTCTGGTTTGGACAAATGGCTGGTTACCGCCGCAAGCATACATTTAAGAAGATTTTGACAGTCTTGACAGTTGGCATCTTTTGGCCATTACTATCTTTTTGCTATTTATTGGCACCACGATCTCGAATAGGCAAAATAATTCATACTCCTTTTATGAAATTTATCATTCATGGAGCTTCATATTTTACATTTCTGTTATTGCTTAATTTGTACTCACTTGTCTACAATGAAGATAAGAAAAACACGATGGGACCAGAATTAGAGAGAATAGACTATCTTCTAATACTGTGGCTCATTGGTAAGTATAAAAAATACAAAACTATTAAAATGCTGACTTTCTCAAACCCCCCCCCCCATTTTGCTTAATAATGTGTAGTAATGTGAATAAACTTTGGATGACCATCTTGTGTGCTGTGTAGGGCTCCTCACTTATATGGGGAAAAGTCTAGATTTCCTAGAGGAAGTCCAGTAGTAAGTAACATATTGCTATCAAAGTACTCTACAAATAAGTATTCAGAATAATTGCTATATTAATGTCCAAAATTGTAGTCAAATTTATAATTGTTATATTGTTATTTCAATGTTATGTTCTGTTATTTCTGACAGAAAGCATGAAATCTTATAAAATAGTTAAAACCTATTTTTAAAATAAATATAATGTAAAAACCTTCATGAGTTAACTAGTTATAATTGACTAGAACTGGGAAAACCAGGTTCAACTCTAACTGGCCATCAAATTCACTCTAAGATTTTGCATTCCTTAAGGAACAGCAGTACATAAAGGTAATATTAATAAATAAATGTTTCTGACCAGTTTTGTACTGTAATTCTGTAGTTTCAGTCTATGAGAAATGCCTGCTTAAAAAATGAACCGATACTAGCAGATAAGTTTATCCAACCCTGTTATTCTCTTAGAACACACCTTCTGAAATAGCTTTCAGAAGTTCCCCAATTCTAAGCAAAACTACTATTTCTCCATGGCTAGGAGCAACAGAGAAACAATAATGGAGTCATGTGAGTCTGCATGTGTGTGCCTGTGTAGAATTTACTTACAGGCATGAAGAATCTCCAGCCTGTAGTCTTTATACAGTCCACTAGGTTTTCCCAACCAGCTCAGTTGAGTTTTCTTAATGGTTCCAGCTTCAGCAAAACTCCATGATAGATTTTGGCCCTGTTCACTACTGACTGACAGCCCTTGAAATTGTGTAACCAGAGAGAATGCAATCCTTTTGCCAAAGAGTAATGCTAGGAAGTGATGTCAGTTACCAAAATACAATTTTTCATAGTAAGATGTGAAGACATCTGCAGTCCTTAAACATTACTTTTTTTTAATCACACTGATGATGACATTGAAAGAGAAAGGTGTAAGTGTGAAAGAGTGCCAAGAAGTAAATAAAGCCAAAAAACTAAGCTATTACAGCATGACTCGTGGAGCTCTTTATAATAGGCCACACATAATGGTTCAGCTTACTTTCACATTTACATTATATCAACATTTTGGCCTGTAGAAATATTTTGCATTTTAAAAACATGCCAATGAACAAATGGCTGCTGTGGTAATGAGGCTGATTACAAGTTAATGTGAATTCTTTCTGTCAAGTTGCTGTGACATCTGCTGCTTGCCAGTGGTTAAATAGTTTACCAATTGTTAGTACCAGATTTAACTTAGCATTTTGTGCAAATGTATTGTTTTTGGCATCTGAGGAGGTTTCCCTCCAATACAAATATATTAAAGAAAATTTTCCTTTGGCTTACAGTTGGAAAAAAAGCTGTTGAAAAATAACTAGGGAGGGAGAAAAAACTCATATTCTCAGCAATGTAGTCTTATTCAAAAACAAGATTGTATAATGTTTGTGATTAAATATGATTACATATTTATAGTGGAAGACTAATTTTTATAAACTGATTATTTGGAATGTACTGATCTTTATCTAGTTCAGGTTCAGTATTTTTTTATCATATACTGTAAAATAAGCTGACTTTGTCACTAAAAACTCCCTGGAATGAGTTGTCCTTATTAGAGTGACCGTCATGTTATTTAAAATTTTAGCCAGACAATATTGAGATTGTATACTCTTTTTCTTTCTCTGTTCTAAGGAATGGTATGGTCAGATGTTAAAAGACTTTGGTATGATGGCTTGGAAGACTTTTTAGAAGAATCACGAAATCAACTTAGTTTTGTCATGAATTCCCTGTATTTGGCAACTTTTGCTCTCAAAGTAGTTGCCCATAATAAGGTAAATAGTGACTGTAAGTTAACAGCAGTATTAAGTTACTGTATGTTTTTAGAACATTCATTCTTAAAATCATCTGGTATGTCTTTGAGTTCAGGCACTATATATTTAGTGCTGCTACAGAAAGTAGACGTTTTATTTATTTATTTATTTAAATTTATTGGCCGCCCATCTCCAGTGGATTTTGGGCGGCACACAAAACTAAAAGAGACATAAAAACAGCTAAAAATATTAAATCAATGTAAAGAGCTTGCAGTGTTTCTTGTTGTTTGTTTTTTGTTGTTTGCTAAAATGCTTTTTAGAATAATGAAATATGAATAAAGTACATTTCCTGTTGTTTAAAATAGAATGTGTAATGACAGGAACATTACTGTTCAAAGTTAAATATATCCAGAATTATCATGCTATTAGCTTTTACAAGCCATGTGTATTCTGCACACATTATAAAAATAAGAAATACAGTGGTACCTCGGTTCACGAACTTAATTCGTTCCGCGACTCTGGTCGCGACCCGAATTGGTCGTGAACCGAATCAAATTTCCCCATAAGGTTCAATGTAATTACAGTTAATCTGTTCGGAACCATTTTT